AGAAGCCTTCCAGAATACTTCCTGGTGATAATAGCCTTCTACTTTTCACTACACTAAAACTTATACCTCCCTGTAACTCTCTAATATAGCTATGTAATATTATGTGTAGTGTTGTTTCTTTTTTAAAAGCCTAAACCTGTCATTACACTTACATAGAGAAATCCTAGAATGGAAATTCCCTCCCTCTAATGAACATCAGTAAATCTTGAAATTTATACTATTAGAGAGTTACTTGAGAATTGGTTAGCATGGTGCCTGACACACTGTAAGCATTTAAATTCTCTTTGTTTCTTTTTCTTTTTATGTATGAACGAAAAACAGTTATTAAGTGAGCAAAGCACTGGGAACATAAAGAGAAAAGCAAGACAGACCTGGCTCTCACAAAGTTCACATTTTGGTAGCAGGAGAACATATAGAGGTTCATTCATTCAGCTCTGAAAGTCACACAGAGTGACTCTATGCCTCTGAGAGTACAGCTGTAAAGTAAGTGGTATGCATCCTCTTTAACATCATTTCCATTAATAAAATCACATTGGTTTCTGATACTGAACCATTTGACAGTGCCAAGGACTCGAGTGGGGAGAAGTTTCTTTTCCCAGCCTTTAGCAGACATGGCTGCTGAGGAAGTGGAGCCCACAGCACCTCCTCCTCAGGGCTTCCTCTTCCCTGAATCCTTTGATGGCAGGCCAGCCTCTTTCCCACTCCCTTCCGTAAATAGTGACACTTCTCCATGAACTGAATAAGGTGAGTAATCCTAGTGATATCTTCCCTAAGTGCTATATTGGAGAGACTCTGGCCGTGCTCTCTCCTTCGGAGTTTTAGTAGACTCCTGCTGGGTTCAGCCACTATCAGCCAGTGGGAAAGTTGTACTGGTTCTGAGTAACAGAACTGCAGCCTCCCCATTGGTCTGAGATTCCTGCCCTGGTTATTCCTCTGCAGGCTTCACACTAGACTGGAGCTGAGCCCCTACTCTGCAGCTGAGCTCCAAACCACACAGCTGCTGCTTGCTTCTGAACTTGCTCTTGGCTATGTACACAGCCTAAAGCTGATGAGGTCTAGAGGTTTAGAGGTACTGAGACCTCAAGATCACAACACTTGGGTCCTGCCTGTCTCTTTGTTTCTATCCATTATACTCAAAAGGTAAGTGATTTGCCCACAACTATTAACTGGGAGCTGTTGAGAGCTATACTGTGGGTGGTAGAATTTGAACCCAAGCCTTCCAGACAATGCAGGTCCTCCACTTACTACCCCATGCAGCCCTTTGGCATCATGTATTACATGGCTCTTGATAAAAATTTCTTGAAAGGGGCGAAGGCATTTTTTGTGATTTGGGTTTCTTTTTTTTTTTTTTTTTTTTGCTAGGCAATGGGATTAAGTTGACTTGCCCAGGGTCACACAGCTAGTGTCAAGTATCTGAGGCAGGATTTGAACTCAGGTCCTCCTGACTCTAGGGCCAGTGCATTATTAACTGCGCCACCTAGCTGCCCCGGTTTTTTTTTTTGTGATTTGTAAGATTTGACGATTGAACCTCTTTGCAGACAGGTTCTGTCTTTTGCCTCTTTTTGTATCCCCAGCACTAAACAATGTGCCTAGCACATAGTAGGTAATTAATTGATTTGTATAAAAGGAGCATCAGATTTAGAGCCAGAAGACCTGGCTCTACAATTTACCATCTGTGTGACCTTTGCCAAGTGCCTACTTCTCTGGCCCTCAATTTCCTATGTTTCAAAGAATGATGTGGTACCAGATCACTAGCTCTTAAACTGGGATCGGCCAACTTTTCAAAAACATATTTGGATAAATGCTTTTCAGCATACTTGATTTCCTTTGTAATCCCAAGTATTTTATTTTGTGCACTTAAAAACATTATCTTGCATAGGGTCAGCCCTATAGGACATCACCAGCCCACCAAAGAGATTCAGGACACAAAAAGAGTAAGAATGCCTTTACTAGATGATCATTGGTTCCTTCTAGAGTTAAATTCTATGATCCAATAAGAGGTTTATTTGTTCGCATCTCAGAGGATACGGCTGTCCCTTCTCTTGGTCAAGATCACCTCCCTCTATGAGTCCTTAATCCCATCTTGTCTCATCTCCTCTAATTAGCCTATTTAATCCATTTAATCTTCCCTACCCACCCAAATTTTCTACCTCTTCTTAAGTAGCTCCTCAACTGCTTGCCTACAAACATATCCAGGTCTCCCCATCCTCAGAAAACTTTCTGGGCAGCTAGGTGGCATAGTGGATAGAGCACTGGCCCTGAAGTCAGGAAGACCTGAGTTCAAATATGGCCTCAGACCAAACACTTGACAGTTACTAGCTGTGTGACCCTGGGCAAGTCACTGAATCCATTGCTTTAAAAAAAAAAAAGACAGAAAACTTTCACTTGACTCTACCATCCACCAAGGCTATCCTCCTATATCTCCCTTTCCTTTCTCAGCCAAACTCCTAGAAAAAGCTGTCTATACTCATTACCTCTTTTTCTCACCTACCATTCACTTCTTAACCCCTAACTCTAGCTGAAACTGTTCTCTCTTATGTAGATTATACATGTAAGGCACCACTTTTCTTCTAGTCACTTAGGTTCTAAACCTAGATTGGCTCTTCAATCAATCAGAAGCATTTAATAAGCACCTACTGTGTGCTAATCTGGACTATACTAGGTGGTTGGGGATACAAAGACAAAACTGAAACTATCCCTGCCCTTGAGTAGTTTACATTCTTTCAAGGGATCCAACATGTACATATATGCGTGGTGGTGTTGCTGTTGTTTTTTTGTTTTGTTTTGTTTTTTTGGTGAGGCAATCAGGGTTAAGCGACTTTGCCTAGGTTCACACAGCTAGTGTCAAGTGTCTGTGGTCGGATTTGAACTCAGGTCCTCCTGACTCCAAGGCCAGAGCTCTATCTACTGTGCCACCTAGCTGTCCCTGTTGCTGTTGTTTTTGTAGAAGACCAATGACATCACGGGTGAACTGGACTTAAGTGAGGTAGTGCTGCACAAAGTCATCAGCTTCATTCTCTCTTCCAGAGTCATTAGAATCCAGTGGCAAGACAAAAGTCAGGACTGGCCATGTCCCAGGTTGCAGTGGATGACTTTGTGGTCTTCAATGCCTAACCACAGCACCTGCTTCAGTCACCTTCATGGCCATTGGAACAAATTGTTCTCATCTGCCCATTTCACCAGGGGAAGTCTTCACGTGCCTGGGGTAGACATCACTCTAACCCTCTTAAAGGTTTATAGCCCATTGATTACCCTCAACCTGCTTTAGTTTGTCTGCCAGTTATTTGGGTGTGGCCGATGCACATGCTACACAGCTTCTTGTAGCCACAGGTGAGAACTGAGTGCCATGAACAGGTGAGAAATGAATGAACAGCCCTGAAGAGGGCTGAGCAAACTCTCATATCAGAGGTGCTAGTCCTCCTTGAGCACCCATGGAGAGAGCCAAGCCTGGAGTCAATTCCAGACCTGAGTTCAATTCCAGCCACAGATAGCAGGATTTACTAGTTATGTGTCCCTGGACAGTCACTTCTGCTTGCCTGTTTCCTCATCTGTAAAATGGGAATAATAATAGCACCTACCTCCCTTGTAAGGATCAAATGAGATAATCATTATAAAGCACTTTGTACAGTGCCTGCCACATAGTAAGCACTGCATAAGTTTTAGCTATCATCGCTATTAATTATCCCTGAAGGTCTCTGGGCCTTCAAACAGAGGGTGTTTGCATGGTTCCAAGTCCGGAGCCAACTCACTCTGCACAGTCCTTGGAGTCGTTTTGTTAACTGCTATCTCTGTGTGGCGCTAGTGCTCTTCATTGGAAGTGTCCTGCACTAGACTTCGGGGAATCCATTTTCTATAGGCTCCAATCCATCCTCCATACTGCAACCCAACCAAATTGGTATTCCTAAACCAGTCTTAACCATGTTACTCATCTGCTCAAGAAATTGCAGCAGCAAAAATTTAGGTTAAAATATACAATCTGTCTCCAGTCTATTTTTCCAGACTTGATTGCACTTTACTTTATCTACTTCATTCGATGCTCCAGACAAACTGATCTTCTTGATAATTCGTGTAAACAACACTCCATCTCATTCCGAGATGTGCTCTCTCCTCACTTCCACTTCTTTGAAACCCCAGCTACATTTAAAGCTCAGCTTAAGTGCTACCTTTCCCAAAATGCCTTTCCTAATCTCAGCTGTTAGTATCCTCCCATCCCCAATCACTCTGCGTGTGACTTTTGGGTGTGTATCCTTCATTTACTTACCTGTTAATGTGTTGTATCAATGTAGTAGAATGTAAGATCCTTGGGGGCAGGCACTAACACTTCTGTAATTGCATCTCCAGAACCTAGCATATGGCCTGGCACATGCATAGAAGACGTTTAATAAATGTTCGGGGATTCGTGATTGATTGATTAAAGAAGGCGGGGAGGGGAATGAGGGTTGACACAGGAGGCAGACTCTGTGAGAACAAGGGTCAACGGGGGGGGGGGGGTCAGTGTAAGGAGGCGGAGTCTGCATGATGAGTGGAATGGCAGAGGAGAGTCTGGAGAAAGAAGGGTATTACAAGATATTAAACGAAAAGGAGGGAGGAGGCAATGTGTGGGAGGGGAGGGTGGAGAAGCTGGTGAGTAGTGCAAAGTGGGGTTCCAGGAGAGGAAGCAGTCTCTGTTCACTCAGGGGCTAGGGTCTTCAAATTCAGGGGATGTGCCCCATCGATTCCCCGCCCTCTCTCCCGTCCCAGGTCCCCTTTTCCTTAGCCTTTTCTCACTGACACCCCTGGATCCCCATTCTTACTGCCGCCTATCCTAACCCTTCCCTTGCCCAAGGATGTGGCCGACGGAGCGCTCCCCTCCGCTGCAGCGAAGCTGGGGCGGCTATAGACCAGCAACAGCAGCAGCGGGGGTGGCCTGTCTTGGGCATGCGCAACCGCACTGCGGCTGCGGGCCGGGAGGCGGTGGTGGGCCGGGGGCAGACCTCGGAAGACCCCCTCCCCCCTCCTCTATGTATGCCTTCTACTCGCTCCTGGTCTACATCTTTTACACCCTCTTTCGAAGGGATGGGGAGGGAGCGGCTGCAGCAGCTCACACCGAGGACCCCTCGCAGGTGAGAGACAGAGTGGGGAGGAGGATGGATGGGATGGTGAGGGAGGGTTTGCCTGACCCCTTCTGCCCTTGGGAGGAGTCCACTTGACCTCATACCAATCTATGTCCCCAAACCCACTTCTCTAAATCTGAGCTCCTGTACCCATCTTTGGGAGAGGGTTTTTTGCTGGAGCCTATTCCAACCTGTTCCCCCTTCTCTGGGGGACGGGTCTGTTCATGAGGCCCCCCTTAACCAGTGCTTGCTGTCTGGGCCCACCCTAACCTGTGCTTGCTGCCTGTGTCTACCACTTGTGGTGAAAGCAGAGCAGTTGAGCCTCCCCCACCCTATTTGCGGAAGCATACAGCATCACTGCCTGGCTCAGGTTTGCACAGCCCCATTCCTCAGCACAAGCCTGGGAGGTTGGCATGGCTTACAACTAAAAGCTCAGGTGACAGAGGAATGGTTCCTGAAGCCCCCTTCCCATCTCTGTTATGAGCCCCAGCATAACTATATAATAGCTTTTCACTTCCTCTTCCCCTCCCATGAAAAACAGCCTGGAAGAAGAGAAGGACCTAAGATATCCATCACATTCACCTTAGGAAGCGGATGGTGACCCACTTTGTCTTTTCTCCTACTCCTTTTCTTTCTTAGGGTGCTGGCTCCCTCCCCACAAGTAGCCGCCGCCGCTGCCGCCGCCGACCACAACAAGATCTCTGGACTGAGCTAAATGGCCTAGACAGTATGTGACCTATTAAGTCAGGGCTGTGGGAAAATTGGGCAGTCCAGAAAAATGAAGGCAACCTTCCCTCTCTACCACCATTGATTCCTCTGTGAGTTCAGCATGTCCATTCTGTAATAGCCTTACTCTTTTTTGCCTTCTCACTTTTCTTCTAATACTCTGTAGGTTCCTCAGACCCAGACTCTGAGAAAGACAGGGATGGGAAACAGGAGGCAACAGCTGAGGGAGCTGCAGGCAGCTCCCCAGAGGTCTCTCTGGAAGAAGCCATCACCCACCTGGCTGAATTCCTGTCTCTTCAGTTGGGGACAGGTGAAGGCTGGACAAGGTCTCTGGACCCAGACAAGGTGAGTAAGCCTGGGTCTTCCCTTATCCCTTTTTCACTCCCCTTAGACTCATATAATGTCAGAGTTGAAAAAACCTCTTTCAAAGAGCTAGTCCAACCACTTCCCTTTATACAGGGAGAAACTGAGGACTTTACTAGGGTGAGTATCAGGACTGATACTAGAAGCCAGGTCTTCCTGATTTCTAACTTGGTGGGCCTTCCATGCAGCCCATGATTCAGTCTGACAGAGAAGAGGGTCTCAAAGATATTTTTTCCTTATTTAGTCTTATCCCTTATCCCCAGGTCTCTTTTGCTAACTTTCTGCCAGTCAGCACATCTCTGTCTTCTTTGAGGAATCTGTGGTACAGTAGAAAGAGCCAGAGAATCTAAGTTTGAATCTTAAATTTTCTTATTACCTGAGACCTCAGACCTCATTTTCCTCATATGTAAAATGGGGGGAAGGCCCTAGCTAATCCCTAAGATAGCTTCTAGTTCTAAATCCTATGAACCAGCTCCAGAACTGCCTATGTAGCCTTAGAACCTATGATCCAGCTTGTTGTGACTGCTATCCCTTCTCTCTGACCATCCCTGTTTCCTCACAACCACCACAGCCCCCTGCTCTAATCCTTCCCCAAATTCCCCACTGACCCCCGACCCCCAAATTCCCAGGCTCCCCTGCTGCTGACACTGACTGGGCAGCTCCTGGCAGTGGTAGCCTGGCTGCAAGGGCCAGGTGAGAATCGAACCCCAAGGCTCCAGCATGGCCTCCAGCATCAGCTTTCTGGATCCCAGCAGACCAGGGCCCCAGCCCCTGCTACAACTCCAACTTCATCTTCAGGAGGGCAGCCCTTAGCCCCAGATGGTACATGGGGTGTAATGGAGTGGGGAGGATGATATTTGATCCTGGAGGGAGGTGAAGAGCCTACTGCTTCAGGATCCCTGGGGAAACCAGGATTTGGAGAGTGGATACAGGGCTGGGGGCCAAGACTCCAAGACACTCTTTCCAGTTCTTTTTCCTTGGGTGGTCCCTGTTTGTGGTTAAGAGTGCTTCTTAGGCCTGATAGAGCCCCACCTCCTGTTCCAAGGTAATAATTCTCTATTCTCCTTGCACCCCTCCTCATCTCCCTGAACAGGCCTAAGGGTAGCCATGAGGGGTGAGCCTAAGGGGCAATCCCAGCAGAGGGAAGAGGAACATAGAGACTGGCAGTGGCTGGAAGAGACCACCCTTGGGCAGGTAAGAGGACCTGGACGCATCTGGAGGGTCAGCCCTGGAGTTGAGGAAGAGGCCCTAAAGCAGAAAAGGATTCTATGAGGATGGTTAGGGAAGAAAGGGAGCTGAACAAGGTTTTATGAGGAAGACTTGGGAGGCAGAGGAGGGGGCCATAGGATAAGCAAAAAGTGGGGATGCCTTGACAGGTAAAGAGATGGGGGGGGAGTCCTGGAGTTAAGGAGCTGACTGCCTTAACTCCAAGCAGGAGGTCATGGGGGTGGGGAGATGGAGGGAGGGTGAAGAACATTGTCCGCCCCCCATGGGATAGGTGAATAGAAGTGTTTTGTGAGTGTAGGGAAGAGGGTTTCGGGGAATAAGGAGCTGGTAGACAGGGAGGAGGTTCCTGAGGGGACACCATGGCCTTCCTGATGAGGTCAGTAGACAGGGAGAGGATTCAGTTCAGATCCACTAACTAGAGGTTGCATTCATGAGTATCAACACAAGACCTTGGGGGGAAACAACAGTCTTTGGGATAGGACAGAGTCTAGGAATCACTAGGATAGCGATACCCTTCCCCCAACCCCGCCCCATCCCAGGCTTCCCCCAAACCATTTACTCCAGATAGAGGAATTGAAGCAACAGCTAGAACACCAGGAGGAGGAACTGAGCCGACTTCGGCTAGGAGTGGTGAGGCCTATGCTCTGGGGTTCCTGGAAGGCAGAGACTCTGTGAAATGAGGGGAGGACATGGGGTACTGGGCACCTGAATGAATCCGGGGGAAAAAAAGGATTCATGCTTCCAGGCTCTTGTAAGGTAATGGGGTGGGAAGGAGGATAGGGTTGGGGATTCCTGGGTTCCAAGGGGATATTATATTATATAACTATATTATATTACCCCCTCCCAGGGGGTAACAGACTCTGAGAAGCGGATTCAGCACCTGACATTGGAAAATGAGGCCCTGAAACAGAGCCTGAGCCTTACCAGGGACCTGCTGCTCCAGTGGGGGCCTGGGACCCTTGTCCGGACTCCCTCCCCTGCCCAGGTAACACCCTCCTCCAACATCTCCCTTCTGAAAGTGCCTCTTCTTCCAGGTGACTTCACACTGCTACCTTTCCTCTTTCCAGTTGAGAGAGATGCCAATCTAGAAAGACTGCTGGAAAGAGTGTTAAAGGACCTCCCTAGGATCAGATCCTTGCTCTGTTACTATGTGATATTGCAGAAATTACTTCATTGCTCTGGGCCTTGATTTCTTATTGTCAAAATGAAAGCTACCTAAAATCCTTTCTAGCCCTAATCTATGAGCCTATGACCCCCAGGCATTCACTCTACCCTGACAATCCAGGTGTACCATCCTAGATCCTGTCCATTTTCCCAGCCTGGTCACTTGGATATATGTATGGATTTGGTTTTGTTTTTGTCAATTAGGCATGTCTGACTCTCCAGGACCCCATTTCGCATTTTCTTGGCAAAGATACTGGAGTGGTTTGCCATATCCTTCAGCTCATTTTACAGATGAGGAAACTGAGGCAAACAAGGTTAAGTGAATTGCCTAGAGGGTCACACAGCTAGGAAGTGTCTGAGGCTGGATTTGAACTCAGGTCATCCTGACTCCAGAGCCCAGTACCTGGATATACCACTTCACCACCTAGTTGCCCATACGTGGGCTGGGGGAGGGGATAAGCGCTCTCCCCCAGCTCTTCATTTCCCATATTGCCAGGAAAGTAGGCTTCTGTAGGTGTTCTGACTTCTAATCTCGTTCACTCAAGACCTAATCCTTCTAAGTATTGGGTATGTAAATGGGTTGCTGGGGGGTTTTTTTGGGGGGGAAGAAGGGCACAGAGATAGAATTTGATGATTTCTTCTAGTTCTGACACTCTATGAGTCAGTCTCCCCAAACCTACCATCGCCACTTTGCTCTCTGCCCCTCACCAGGCCTGCTTCTATGCCTCTCTACAATCCCCACCCCCCAGCTGGAGGGAGCAGAGGCCTCAGGGCCTAGGCTGCCCTCCAGAGTTGGTACCACCTCACCCTCTGCCCCCATCAACTCCTGACTCCCAAGTGTCACTCCCACAAATAGGAGGAAGCAGAGGTCCTGGTGGAGCTTAGGAGTCGGCTGAGAGAAACTGAAGAGTCAACAGAGACCCTCAGGGCCCAGGTGAGGACCTGGCCAGACTGGGGAAGGGGAAGGGAATAAGCATTTATATAGCACCTACTTTGTGCCAGGTGCTGTACAAATATCTCATTTGATCCTCACAACAACTTTGGGAGGTAGGTGCTGTTACTATCCCCATTTTACAGTTGAGGAAACTGAGGACAACAGGGGTAAAATGACTTGCCCAGGGTCATGTAGCTAGTAAGTGTCTAAGGCCAGATTTGAACTTAGGCCTTTCCAACACCAGGCGCAGTGCTGTAGCTACTGTGCAACCTAGCTGCCCTCTGACTAGGGGGTATGGGGTGAGTTACGAGAACAGCTGGGAAAGGACAGGACCCTGGTCTTTCCCCCCACCTCATGACAGCCTGTCTTGGGGGGGTGGCAGCTAGGGGTACAGGAAGGGCAGCTGTGGGAGCTTCAGGGGGCCCTCCAAGAGCTGCAGCTCGAGGCAGCTGCCCAGGAGTCTGAGCGAAGGAACAAGAGGGAGCTGAGGCAGATCCTGAGCCAACTGGCAGGTATGGTGGAATGAGGGATTCAGACTGGCGGGGGGTGGGAGCCGAGTCTGGGCAGGCTCCCCAGTGTCTTCTCTCACCGTTAACCTCTCCTTCCCCTCCAACCCACCCAGGACTTCAAGGGCACATAGTTGCCTTGCGCCGGGGCTGCGGAGACCTTCGAGGGCTGGTCATTGCCTTTACCCAGAACTACCAGGGGGCTCTGAAGGAGGCCCAAGGACAGGTCAGTAGCTGCCTTCCCAAGCTGCCTTTCCCTCTCTCCAGTCCCACTCCAGGAAAGCTACTACTAAAGCACTTCATACCTGCCCATTCTAGGGACAGGGCATGGTGCTAAATAACAAGTCAGGTACACCAGATCAGGTCATGTGATAAGGGTACAAAACAAAGTCCTATGTGAGGTTAGGGGAAAAGGCTGTTTGTTACCAAAAGAGGAAATCAAGGAAGGCTTCCTAGAGGTGTCATTTAAGATTGTCTTTGAAAGATAGATAGGAATTTAAACACAGATAGGGAGGGCTAGCACCCCAGACACAGGGAAAGCAAAAGGCATGTCGGCTTCAGAGCACAATATATATTTGATGTGTTTTTGGTGGGCAGCTAAAAGGGACAGTGGATAGAGCTCCAGGTTTGGAGTCAGGTAGACCAGAGTTCCAATTCAGCTCAGAGTTCCTTCGTCCCTTCCTTCTGGTGCTTAATGAGTGTTTAATTAATATTAATAAATGCCAGTAGAATTAAGCCTGAAGGCAGGGACAGCCTTGCTTTATATTTTTATACCTATCACCTAACATAGTGCCTGGCACATAATAGGTACCTAATAAATGCTCATCGATTAATTGTTAGTGGTACCGATTTGTAAAGAACTTCCAGTGCCAAACAGAGCAATCTAAACTTTTTATTGAAGTCAGTAGGAAGCTAGTGTTTTTGAGTTAAGGAGTGATATTCATGGATCTATGTTTAAGAAAGATTATTCTTGGGGCAGCTAGGTGGTGAAGTGGATAGAGCACCAGCCCTGGAGTCAGGAGGACCTGAGTTCAAATATGGCCTCAGACACTTACTAGCTGTGTGACCCTGGGCAAGTCACTTAACTCCGATTGCCACTTCCCCCCCCAAAAAAAGAAAAGGTTATTCTTACACAATACTTGGGAGAGAAGAGAGTAGGGGCAATTAGACCTCATAGAAGGCTATTGTAATAGTTGAAGGTTAAAGGTGGTGGCAGTGGGAATGAAGGGAGAGGATGGATGCTAGAGAAAATGTAGAAATTCATTCAACAAATAGTCAAGTCAGAAGCTGGAGCAAAGGTCTGGGTGGAAATGATAATAAGCTTGGTTTTACACTTGTTGAATTTAAGATATTCCTCCAGGTCGAAATCCCTGGAGATAGCTGGAGATATAGGGCAGGTCTAACCCTGAGGCAGGTTCTATTTCTAGCCTTTCTTCAAGTGTCCCTGAGATTAATCCAGTCCCAGCCCCAACCTCTTAATCCTCATTTTCTGCCCCAATTTCCCAGTCCTGTCTCTCATAGAATCTTAGAGCTCCCAAAGACCTCAGAGGGCATTAGAATGTAGTGAAAAGAGCACGAGAGTTGAAGTCATGCTGGGAACCTGGGTTTGACTCAGGACTGCGATTTTTTCTACTTCTGTGACCTTGGGAAAGTAACATTCTCTCTGACTCTCGGTGTCCTCATCTATAAAATGAGGAATTGAAGTAGCTGAGTCTAAGGGCCCTTCCAGATCCCAATCTGGGATCCTAATCCAAAGGCCACCTGAACAGGAATTCCCAAGCCCTACTGTGTGTGTCTGTCTCCCAGGTGTGCTGGGCCTTGGGGGAGCTGTCAGGCAGTCAGTGGGGAAGGAGAGTTCCTGAAAAGCGAAAGAAACCCAGAAGAGCCTATCAGGGCCGACTGCTGGAGCTCAGAGGTATGGATGGGTTGGGGAGAGTTATCCTCACTCTGCAAGTGAAAATATACTGGCCTTCAACTCCTTTGCCCATTTTATCTCTTTTGGTGGGGTTGATGGTGGGAAACAAGCACAGTGGGGTTGCTGCATAGATACAGGATAGAATGGATGACCTCTGAGTTCTCTCCACACTCAGATTTTATGGAGGATGGGACTGTAAAGAGGCTGAAGTATAGGGAAGGGGTTAAAGGGTGACCATAGCACTCAGTCCTCTGCTCCTGCCTTCCCACAGGGAACATCAGAGTGCTGTGCAGGCTGAAGCCAGGGAGCCCTGGGAACCTGCTGAATGTGAACCCAGGTCCTGGGGGCACAATCACTGCTAACTACCGAGGACGCCAGCGTCACTTCCGCCTAGACCGTGTATTCCCACCTGATGCCACCCAAGAGGAGGTGATCATTTGATCTATCTCTCTCTCTCTCTCTCTCTATATATATATATCTATGGAAATATCTATAGATATATAGATAAAGAATATATTCATGTATAATATGACTATATGTATAGTCATATTATTATATCCCTCTTCCCTAGGGATAAGTGAGGCAGCTAGGTGGCACAGTAGATAGGCCTTTAATCAGGAAGACTCATCTTCCCAAGTTCAAATCTGTCCTTAGACACTACTTACTAGCTTTGTGACCCTGGGCAAGTCACCTAATCCTGTTTGCCTCAGCTTGCTCATCTGTAAAATGATTTGGAGAAGGAAATGGCAGACTGCTTCTGTATCTTTGCCAAGAAAGCCCCAGATGGGGTCACAAAGAGTCTGATTCGACTGAAATGACTTAAGGACAACCAGCAACTTCAATGTAGAGAAAGCTTTCCAGAGGGATAAAAGAGATCTTAGATATTAAGTCCGACATTGTTCTCCCCCACACCCCCAACCCATTGCTCAGATGGAGATATTGAGGCCTAAAGGTGATCGTATCCAAGGATGCTTAAATCAATCTGGTGCAGTCAGGAATCAAATACAGATCTCACAAAGCCCAGACTAGGGCTTTCTCTACTCCATCAAGCAACTCCCCAGGTACCTATCGGAGGTGACCTGCTTCTCCCCACCTCCCACCACCCACCAAGGACCCATCCATTTTTCTCTTTCCTGTTCCATTTTCCCTAGAACTTCCCTCTTTCCCCAGAGTTCCTACATTTAGATATGTGGAGGCCTGGACACTAGGTGATTCATACAAACACTCTCTCTTTCACACTGTCCCTCATCCTGTATCTTTATTATCATCCCTAGGTGTTTAGGGAGCTAGAACCTGCTGTGCTGTCCTGTCTCCAAGGTTATAGTGTCTGCATTTTCACCTATGGCCAAACTGGGACGGGCAAGACCTACAGCATGGAGGTGGGGGCAGGGATCTCACAGCTGGGGAATGAGGAGGGGAGGGGAGCCCTCTCATTAGAATGGGGGCCTAAGGGGAAATGGAATGGGAAGCCCCAGTAGCCAAGGGCTGAAATCTGAGCCTGATGCTTTCCCATTCTCATCCCTTGTGGCCACTCAGGGTCCTCCGGAGGACCCAGGCATCGCCCCAAGAGCCCTGCAGTCACTCTTCCGGGAGATGGGGGAACAGGGAGGGCCAGCACAGCCCCGTGTGACAGTCAGCATGGTAGAGATCTACAATGAGGCTGTGAGGTCAGTGTCCAAACATGCTCCCTCACCCTCACCCACCCCACCCCCAATCTCCCTACCCAAGATATTGCCATGCCCTAATCCCCATCTAGGCTGGCCCCCTCTCCTGTACTATTTTGTCTTCCCTCAGGGATCTCCTAGCCTCGGGACCCCCTGAGCGCCTTACAGTGCGTCAGGGACCAGAGGGCTGTGGAGGAATCCATGTGCCTGGCCTCACCTGCTGGGATGTGTCTGATTTAAGGGCTCTGCACAAGGTAACCCCTAACCCTTGATGCTCAACATCAGGTAACCTCTTGACCTCACTGCCTTGACCTGCTGTGTAGTATAAATAAACTATGACCTCCCAGATCTAATCCCTCAACTTGGGGGAGCTGCCCAAGGTAACCTCTGACTTCACCCCCATTTTCCCATGCAAAGAACCACCCTCTGCCCCTTGGTGCTCTTAGCACCTAAAGGACAGATTATTGTGCCATGTAGATGCTGAATCTGGGGAGGCGAAACCGAGCCACAGCTGCCACCCACATGAATGAGCACAGCTCTCGTTCCCATGCCCTGGTCACCCTGACGCTGACCACTGCCCCCCCTCCTCATGGCCCAGGAACTGCAGGTACCAGCCCCAGCCCCGCCAATGCCTGTACTCCGAGCCCAGGACACCCCAATTGCACAATCACTACTGATCCCTACATCCCGTCTCATAGACGACACGGTGACCCCCAACACTGCCCCTCCCCACCCGTAGGGACGCTACACCTGGTGGACCTGGCAGGCTCTGAGCGGGTGTGGAAGGCAGTGATGACGGAGTCCAGTGGCAGAGCTGGGGTCCGAGGCCGGAGGCTGCGGGAAGCACAGACCATCAACCGCTCGCTGCTGGCCCTGGGCGGCGTGATGGCGGCCCTCCGAGCACGCCAGCCCCACGTCCCCTTTCGAGACTCCCAGCTCACCCGGCTGCTGCAGCCCGCGCTGGGGCCGGGAGCCACAGCTGTAATGCTGGTGCAGGTGGGCAGACTGAGGGGTGGAGGCGGGGCCTGGTTCCCGAAGGTTGGAGCCGAGTATATTAGCATATTCGGTTTCTCAGCCAGTCGATTGGCTCCGGCCAATAACTGAAAGCGGGTGACCGAATTATTTGCATAACGTCTCACCTTTGTTGAGAGGACTGAGCGGGTGGGAAGTTATACCCCGCCCTCCCCACGCTGCTTCTTTTACCCCTCTCCTAGATCTCACCTCGCCCAGAGGATGTGGGGGAGACGGTGTGCTCCCTGAAGTTCGCTGAACGGGTGAGCCAAGTGGAGCTGGGACCCGCCCGTCGCCACAAGACCCCACCTTCGGGGACCCCGACGTCACCAAGCGCTGGGGGCACCCCTTCCTTGGGGACCCCTACTACACCTGGCCCTGAGGGGATCTCCCCACAAGCAGAGCAGCCCTCTCCCTCTGGGGGACTCCCTCCTGTGTAACCCCATCCTGTGTCCAGACAAGCCCATGCTCAGGGCTAGGGGAGACCCTCGGCGGACTGGGACTGAGGGTTGCACATTTCCCAAGATACTGAAGTAAAAAAGGTTTGCCCTCAAATGCAGAGGTAGACTTGGCCCCTCCTTGGAGGCCAGGGACTCCCCAACTTCAAGCTCTCTCTTCTTCAAACTACTCTTTGGTTGGGGGCGAACCTCCTATGGATCCCAACCCTGCCATTTTCCATCTTCCTTCTCCCTCCACCCCTTATCAAACCCTTGCTCTTATCAGCCGAGCACAGCAGGGTGCCCAGACCCCACAGGAAAGGGGGAGGGGAGACCTCAGCTGTGACCACCCACCCCCAATCACAGACGTTGGCTTTTAAAGTGTCTCAGTCCTTTATTGCCTCTATCCCTGTGTGCCCTGACCCCCGACAAGCCCTGAGGCTCTGGAGCAACCAGCTCACATCCCTTTTCTCTACCCCTGCCCCCCACAACAAAGGTGCTAGTTCCTCCCCTCCCCAAGCGCAAGGGAGGGGCCATAGGCAGTGTCCCAGCCTCTTCTTTCAGCCCAGAGATAATATAAACTGGAGAATAGACAGGACCTGATGGATGGAGGGGGAAAACATGATAGGAAAGAGTATAATGGAGGTGTTGGGGGGCGGGGATAGTAGAAAGAATTCTAGGTCCTGTCAGGAAAATTGGGGTGAGGGTCTCAGTTTTGGCTTTCACTCATTGGATGACCTTGGGTAATTCCTTTCCCTCAATGAATTTGTTTTTTCTCTCTGCAAAATTAGGGGGTTAAACTCTTGTGATCTCAAAGATCCTTCCCAGTTCTAAGATTCTGTGACAAATGGACTGTCCCCAGGGCTCCAACCAGGATCCAACCACAAAGTGAGTCTCTTCCTCACTGTCTCTCTTCCTCTGGGAAGCCATGGCAGTATCATTTCACAAGGGAAGTGGTTCTAATAAAATTTTCAAGAGACTCAGTTTGATCTGTTTTTTTTTTTCTTCTGCTTTTAAATCCTATGAATGACTGGAAAAGTGGTAATAGACAAATCATTGGGCAGTCCTCGAGGAGGGGAACAACTGGTTTGTAATTGTGGACCTGGGACTTGGGTCTGAGGTTGTTTGGGAACCCCCAAGGTGAAGCCTTATCTCCTTTGCTTTCCTTATGTGGACTCAAGTTGGGGTGGAGGTTGGGGAAGAAGGTAAGGAATGAATGGGAGAGAGATCTTGGTCCAACTTCTTCACACATTGTACCAGGTGAGTAGTGCACCTGGAGTAGACCCCCTGGGGTTAGGAGATACCAGGTCCAAGGGGTGAGTGACCAATACATCGTAGATGCTCTTGTTAGGTGGCACCACCTGGAAGAGTGCATCCAAATCCCCTACAGAGCCAGAAGGACCTGTGGCTTTAGGTGCTAGCCCCCAGTAGGAAGGGCCTGGTGAGGGCAGACACTGAGGGCAAGGTGGGGGTGCTAGGGGCATCACCACATTTGGGGTATATATGGGGGAGTATGATGTGGGCAGCTGTCCCCAAAGGGGGACCCTGCTACCTCCTGATAGCTGCACCTGGCTTGAGGTACCCTGAATTACAGGGAGGGGTAGGAGAGGCCAGGATCCTTGCTCAGATGAGAGAGAAGGAGGGAGCTGAGAGCCCCCTGTGGTTCCCAACAGCCCTCCCTGAGTTGAGGTACTCTGCAGGAGAGGTATGGGCCAGAGGGGCCAGAGTCCCCCCTCTGAGGGAGAGGAGGAAGAGGACAGGGGAGAAGTAGGTGCTCCATGGCTCCCCAAAGACCCCTCTTGCAACTTGGAGAAGGATCCCAGGGGCCAGGACACTGGCTCTGAAGTAGAAGAGGAGGAAGAGGAGGAGGAGGATGGCCGTGGAGGCTGGGGCCCTTCTGAAATATCCCCAAGCAAGGAATCAATACTGAAGGAGTCGCTGGCTAGGTTGGGGCTAGGGGGCCGGTAGGGCCAGCCATGGAGAACATAGGGGGTCAGGTCCTTGGCAAAGGCTTTGCCCTGGCCACCCCTCTCTCCTCGACGGGCTACAGCTGTGTTTTGCAACCGAAGAGCCTCAGCAGGGATCTGGCTCACGTCCACTGCCCAAAAATTTCCCTTAGCCTGTGGCTTTTCCGGGTCCTTGGGCACCTAGAGAGAGAGCCAAGGGGATTGGGGGATCTTCTGGAACTTGTGATCTGGCCCAGCCCTAGCCAGAGGACTGACCTCTTACCCTCCTCTCCTTAAGTTCTCCAAATGGCAGGCTCTCCCCCCACCCCCCGCATGGCACCCCCCTGCCCTCCAGCTTTCCCAACAGTTGTTATTACCTTGTGGAAGCATCGATTGGAGGAGAGGTTGTGCCGGATGGAATCCTTCCACCCTTCATAGTCATCCTTGAAGAAGGGGAATAGAGCTTGAACCTGGTGAATGATCTGAAACCAGATCCAGAGTATGGGGTGAGACCTCTGGGACCCAATCTGGGTCTGAGAGGGAGACATGGCCCCTGACCTCAGAGAACTCCTAGTCTGAGGGAGAGAACTGAGAGTAAGATGGATTTAATGGACACATGTTCAAATGAGATGAATGGGATCCTTGGGGGAAAATGGGGACCAGTGGGATGTGATAGAAAGAGTACCAGATTTGGATTCAGTGGTTTATAATAATTTATAAGGTTTATAATAAGCCTTGGACAAGCTATTTGGTTTCCTCTTCTAGTAAATGAGTTTGGGAGTGTATTTCATTCTAGTTCTAAATCTTATGAACAATAATAATGCAGAACTAGGGAGCTCTTGTCCTGAGGCTTTGGTGAAAATGACATCACCCAACCCCTCCAGGGACCTCCATCCTGTCCCTTATAGCGAGAGGATCCTGATTCAATCCTAACCTGTGATCATTAGACTGCACCTCTACCAGTCTTCCTTTCCTCACTTACATTTCCTAGAATTCCTCTATTATTGATTCACCTTAGGGATAAGTGGTTATTAATCTCTATCTCAATCTACAGGGACTGAGGACAAATTCTGCATTATTATAAAACTTAATTTCAAACTACAGGGCTACCAGAAGAATAGTTACCCAAAATGCACACAATTCACTCAGAGTGTAGAATAACTCGTGGTAATCTTCAATCCAGCTGCTGAGGATACCCTGAGCATTGGGGGCTGGTAAACACATGCCAGGGACTGAGTGTGACACAACACAGGGGCAGGGGATGTGTCTTGGAGGCTGGAAAGGGAGTGACAGATCAGCCAGGAGTGAAGGATGAAGAGCTATCTGTCATGTTTAAAGGAGGCTGTCCGGAGAAAGACACTCAGCTTGTTCTGCTGCTTGGTCCCAAAGGATAAAACTAGGACCCATCCAAAGGGTAAAGCTGCAGAGACAGATTGAGATTCAATGTAAAGGAAAACTCACTAAAAACTCTTCATAGAGGGAGGGCATCAAGTGAAGGTTGTAAAATCACTTGACCTGGATGTTGTAGAAAGGAATCCTGACCAAGCATATCTTGGCCTGGAGTCCAGAGGCTCCTTCTAGCTCTTAAGATTTTGTGCTCCTGAGAGTCTGGGGAGTGAGCCTGGGAATGGAGGTCCTAGGAGAGTGAGCCTGAGAATGGAAGGTATAGTAAAGAATTGGGGGGTTGGGATCACAGCAAAACCGAACAACTAGAGCAGCTGAGTTAAGCTCAGGAAATTAATGTGCCAGGCACTATCTTAGAAACTATATTGGATGCTGACTCTGGGAGTGAGGTCTTCTGGCAAAAGGTGGTGTCTGGATAGATCTAAGGACAGGGTCAGAGCCGAGTGTAAAGTATCTAGGATAGGTAAGCATAGTGTTCAGGGGAAGGAAGGCTTGGGGAATGTGAAGGGAGGGTAGGTCTGTCAGCCAGGATTAGGGATAGGTTGGGGGAGGGGATTGTCTTAAGTTTTTCTGAGTTTGGGGAATGAGGAGAGCTGAATATGGAGTCCCAGTATCCTGGGGAGATTCTGGAAGGAAGAAGTCAAGAGAACATTGAGTAGGTTGAGTCTAGGAATGGGGGGGGGGGGCTAGGAAGTGAGACTAGGAACTGGGGATCCAATGTTAGGCAATGATCCTGAGGATTTGGGATTAGAAAATCTAGGGAATGAGTCTCAAGGCAAAGGATAGATGATAAGGACTGGGTAAATCTGGGGGTGAGAGCAGCAAAACTGGGTGGTCTGAGGAGTAAGGCTCATGGAAGGGGCCAAGAGTCAGAGAAGGGGAGGTAAGGCCTATGGACCCACACAGGGGAGTCTGGGAGTGGGGGATCTGGGAGGGTATTAAGGTTAAGGTTGAATTGAAGATTGGAGATAGAGCTAAATGGAGAATGTTCAGGCAGGGATGAGGCTCTCAGGAAGTGAGGCAGAGTTAGTCAGGGGAGAAGAGAGGGGAGAAAGTTATAAGTTGTCATGAAGGGTCTGGGTTTGGGGGGCAGAGCAGAAAGGAAGGGAGTATGAACTCAGATTTGGGTAGATTAGAAGCTGAGAGAAGAGTGGGGGGCCCAGGCAGGAGAGTATTTATGGGAGAGAGATTAGGTCAGGGAAGGAAGGGTCTTAGAATGGGCACAATTGATGAGAGAGAAGGATGAAGAAAAGGGCAGGAAGGGCTTATTTGGGGAAATGGGGTTCTTTACCTCTGCCTCTCACCTGGGCCAGCTTGAGCCTCCGTGCCGGGGCAGCCTGGATCACCAGGGCTATCATGGCCAGGTAGGTGTAGGGAGGCTTGTCATGCCGAAGGTATTTCTTCTTTCTTTTCTTCTTGGGGGGCTCTGGCTCCAGTTCTGGCTCCGGCCCTGGCTGTGGGGGGCCAGGGCTTGAGCCCCCGCGGGGCACCGTGGAAGGGAAGGACCCAGCACTGGGCATGGAGTTCCTTAGTCGGTGTTGATCTAGGAAATTGGGACCTAGGATCAGGGGGTTGGGGCCTGGGTGTATGGCAGCAGGCAGGCGGGGCCCTGGGCCCTTTATCATTCGGATGGAGGGGGGAGGGGGAGAAGGA